GATGAGCTTACGGGTAATTACAATGTAGAACCACAAAAAAATCTAGGCATAATTAATAATTAACCATACTAATCTTATAAATTCGAAAGTTTAGATTGATGGATGGATAGATGTTTGTTAGAGTTTGTAGCATAAACGGCTGAACGGATTTCGATGTAATTTGGTGTAGATATAGGGGATAATCTGTAAAACACATGGGCTACTTATTTTTGTTTATTTTTAATTCCACGCGCCCTGTCGTGAGTGATAGCTAGTATATACATAATTCGGTGTATAATTATATGTATATTTTTTTAATTATTAGATTAGACAATCAGATAATAAAGAATACTTATAAAAATTGTTTGTAGCTGTTATTTTTGTATGCTTAGCAATTATAAAATTATTAACATCTAGCTGTTGCCCGCGACTTCATCCGCGTGGTATTAGAAAACATACGAACTATATAAATAACAAAAAGCTACGTATCCCACGGGAACCGGACATTTCTCAGGGATGAACCTTATCCCATGTGTACTCCTGATTTTGTTTTATATCTGTGCCAAGTTTTAATAAGATATGTCATACTGTTGCAGAATGATCGAGTAAACATTAAAAAAACTAAATTAATGAATCCCACGGGAACCGTAACTATTCCCGAGATAAAAAGTAGCCTATGTGTTCTTCCAGACTATGATCTACATCTATGCCGAATTTCATGGAGATCCATTCAGTTGTTTAGGCTATAAACTCTAACAAACATCCATCCATCCATCCATCTAAACTTTCGCATTTATAATATTAATAAAATAGTAGGAAGTAAGATTAAATTGTCATTGCAGCTTTAAAAAAATAACCGTAATCTTAAATCGAAACTTTTAATTAAAATATTTTTATTGTTTCAGTCTGTAGACGCCATCAATGATATATATATAATAGGGCATACGTTGTCCTTAATTTGTGTGGTCTTTTCTTTAGGCGCCCTTACTTTTATTAGGTAAGTTTTTTATCTGTCATACTAAGGTAATAAATAAATAAATAAATATAAATACATAGAATTTTTATTGCCACAAAAAATAACTACATAAACATTTAATACAAAAAACCTTAGAGCTAATATAAAAAAAGAGAGAGAAATGTGGGGTGACTTAACCGAGACAGACATTAAAAAATATAAGAAATAAATAATATATTAAGGTTACAATTTTATTCTTTTTCAAAGGCTGGATAATAATTTTTTAAAGATAATTAAAAAAAAAAATAACATATAGGTTCAAACTTAGTTTATAATTGAGTGTTGAAATGTTAATGTTTAGATGGATGGGTGCATGTTTGTAAGCGTTTGTAGCCAGTAAACGGCTGAACGGATTTTGTTGAATTTGGTAAACATGTCGAGGATAGTCTGCAAGAATAAGTGAGAAGCCACTTTTGTTTTTTTAATGTCACGCGGACGGAGTCGCGCGCGAAAGCTAGTCGGATAATAAAATTAGAAAGCCTGTATGTAACATCGAACAAAAATTCCAAATTTTACGAAGATGTATTTGCATTGGTAATAATAAAAGCTGCATTAATTATTTTATCTGTTTATCTAATTGTCTTTTTTCCTACATTTTTTTCAAAAATTGCACCCATGCCTGTAAAATAAAACAAAAAAATACTTTTCGCCTTTCCTTTGTTTTTCATGTAAAAAGAACTATTTCAAATAGTCAATCTCTTGTAACTTTCACACAAAACATGTGAAATTTAAATTTATGAATGAACGCTGTGACAAAATCTATGATCACATAGCAGTCCATGTGATATAATCTCCTATAGATCGTATCCATATTTTAATAACAATAATATTTATCAGCTAATATTTAAATTTAATCTAACTTTTGAATGTTTTATTTATTCAGATCTATAGGTCGTACGCAGAAATGACTACATTATGTGTTATTTCTTGCGTGTGCTTTGGATAGCACATTATGTCTAATATGGCATGTTTTTGTTGTCAAAAATCCAAGAACGATACAAGCAAATTCGGTAAGTAAAACAATTGTTTCCAATTTCTTTATTTCTCTCATCACTATATGTCTCCACTGAGGGGCTACCCTAAGTTAGTGAGTTCTTCGCCGATATGTGTAGATTGCATCACGATGTTTTCCTTCACCGTAAGAACGTCGTGTCCATTACAGTTTACAATTAAGTACATGGCGGGATTAGAATCCAAGACCTGTAGATAAGAAGTCAAGTGCTTAAACCACTGACCTACCGACGCTCTTGGTGGACTCATTTCTAACATGTGGTGTAAAAAAATAGTTTTTTGTTGGTTTCTGATTTGGCAATTCGCTGATAATACATTCCTGTTTGACAAATTCAAATTCATTTACATTATAGTTAATAACATAACATGACGCTTTTAATTATCACAGAATTCCTATCACAGATGTGTCACTTTTTTGTTATTTTGTAGAATGAAATTAACGGTAGATAGAAGATTACATATTTTTATTAACAAATTAAGTTTTATTCCCACAGATATGGTGCAAGATCCTCCATATAAGTTCAATCTATACGATGTTACTAACGTACAAATTTCTATTCCTCGAGGGATTACATATGTTAATACAACTCGCAGAGGTAAGTGACGAAATGGTTTGAATATAATTAGTTTCCTATGAGCCATGAAGGAAATAATGCGAATTGAGTTACGGTAATTGTAGACTATCGCAACAATTATATGTCATGTCATTTCATTCAATTCATCATATATCAATTCAAATCATTCACTTTGAAATGTAGAGGTGTGAATGTAAATATAAATTTATGTTACGTATTACTGCAATACTTATTATATAAGCTGTCGCCCGCAAACTTCGTTAGTGGATTTAAAAATGAGACCCACCTGCAAGCATTACCTTTCGAATAAAAAAAGAATTATCCAAATCGGTCCACTAGCGGCGGAGTTATGCCGTAACAAACATAAAAAAAACATATCGACGAATTGAATACCTCCTTCTTTTGGGAAGTCGGTCAAAAACGTCATCTATAGCATTCCCGCGTTCATCTACCTTCTACCAGCTATCTTTCAGGCTATTGGTCCGGTCGCCATTTTGACAGCACGGAATTAAAAAAAAGAAGCCTACAATATGCCCGTCAATGTCAGCTACCCTTCAGTGAAAGTCCAGTCGAAATCGGCCTAGCCGTTTCGGAGGTTACCCGGAACAAACCGGCTTGCGGACAGATAGATAAACAAAAAAAATAATGCTATATTCGTTATTAGCAACGCACATGCATTATCTGTCCGAAATCTGGAATTTTCCTTTTGATATTACAAACAGACACTCCAATTTTATTATATCTATATGTCGGAGTGAACGAGCGATTTGTAGAAATCAATTTCGAAGGTAGATTATGTACGCGGTTTCGATCTTCCATTGTGGGCGTGTTTGTCGGAGTTAGAAAGATTTGAATTTTAAAACTCCACAAGGGCGAAGTCGTGGGCAACAGCTAGTATTTAATTTTTGGATTTCTGAAAGAGTCCGCTTACACTAACAGGCTGGAGTAGTACTAAAAAAAACTATGTACTAAGTACTTTAAAAATAGAATATGTTGTTTATTTTAAAAACTTTTCAAGGTGCCAATTAATGAGGCAAAACTAAGGCGTTGGTATCTTCTTATTGGATCGGGCGTTCCCTTTATAATTGACGTTATATACGTAATCGTCCGAATTCAATATGAAGAAACAGACAGGTAAAATTACACTTTAAATTTACTTATAGTATTAAGTTTGAGCTTGTACCTCACGATAGATTGTAAATGCAAAACCAATACGCTAATTTTTTTTATCCCTGAAGCGTTTCTTATGTATTATTTTAAAAAATTATGGACTTATTTTAACTGTCGCTTTTAATTTCAATTAATTTAATTTTTATTTCCTATTTTATTATTAGATATTTAAAAAAAACACGTGGTTATGAAATATCTTGGGTAAAAATTTACAGGTTATGAGGAAACATAAATTGCCATGTACTTTCCGATAGTGAAATTCGTGAGTACCTTAGTGTTCGACATTCCTGTAAAGTATTCTATATTTTTATTTAATTGTAGAATCCTTGTGATATTCAAAGAATGTTGTGGCGATACTGTTTATAATGATTAAATAGCGTTAGATTTATTTTACTGCGAATGTTTACTTACGTTACTTACTTCTATTAAATATAGAAAGTTAATTTTTTGTATTATAGATATCTCCTTTTAATAAAAAATTAAAATGGACATCATAACTGTTCTCCCTCAGAGGAGATTTGGCGCTATTATAAAGCAATGCGAATAAACTCTGTTTAATCTATGATTGTCGCGATTAATGTAGTTTATTTTTAATTAATAGGTAACTTAATTGTTAAACATTATTTTAAAGATATTAAATATACGTAAAAAGGAACAGGTAACTGTCTTTTGACGACGGTGATGCTAATTCATAGCAGAAACAAATCATCGGGTGAGTCACTTCGACAAAACAGTCATAAAAAATCTTTACAGTATATAGAAAGATTTTACAGTGCGCAAAATGACAACTAATTGTTTTTTTTTTTTTTATTTTGTTGCCTAATAAATAAACGTACTGGTGGCATTTACCTTATTTTTATAGAATTGCTTACATGAAGTGGTAGACTCCCAAATCGAAATTAATTAAATAAGTAAAGTAATTTATTTGCTAATCACGTGACGGGATGGTGACGCAACAATGTCAAAATAAAGGCGATCTTCCTGATTTGCTAGTTAAAAGTGCATTTTTAAAAGAAACGGACAATTGTCCTCGCGGGTTCGCTCGATATTACTTGTTCCTACTTGATGTTTGCTTTGTATCGCGGGTAACTGTTAACTGTTTCTAAGATGTGTTTTAACTCATTTTGTAACTGCTCGCGTCCCATTTGTTGCGTCGCCATTCCGTCCCCCTCGCCATGTGGCAAATTAAAATTATTTGGTTTATAGAATATTACTTATTTGTCTATATCGTTTTTTATGTCTTTTCTTAGATGCTGGATAGATATCGGGAGCACCCACTGGGTTATTACGGTGCCCATTGTAACCCTACTCGTGGCCTCATTAGGTAATATTTATTTCATAAGGACAATAGCGTTAAATAAATATAATAAAATAGTAATATATATAACTGTGTTCGTTTTTATAGCTATACGTATTTCAACCTTCATCTTTATCCACAACTAAGTTACAGGGGTGTCAAAAGTGCCCAGAAGCGCTTCGAGAAAATAGTGTTTGGCCATGCTCGCACCGGGTGGTCATGGTCGCTCGGGTGCACTGCCGCCCACCAAGAAAAATTGATTTAAAAATATTTCGTTGTAATACTTGTTTTAAATTCCAACTATCAGTTTGCATTCTTTCTCTGTATATTGTACGAATCTTGTAAGTAATGTTAAAACTACTAATTACGAAAAATTTAATTTGAAAATGAGCCGTAATTACGTATGACTTAAGAATAAGAATAAGAATAATTTTATTGAAAAATAACAGATTAACAATTAACAATAACAGTTATAACCAATTAAAAGATTAATACAAATTGTGGTTATGATACGATTAATCTCGTATTTAATTAATTAATTACTTGCTTGGATACATTGTACTCGTAGAACTAGCGCAACAAGTACCAATGGAAAGGTTTGACTTGACACTATGTGCTCTACTGATTACGGTACACTACGAATAAATCCGAGTTGGTCGCCACTATACAACGGGCAATGGCATATTTTTTTTTATTATATTTGACTAACATAAAATTGTTATAGTCTATTACAAATTGTCAACGAAAAACTTAAAAATAAACGACTAAAAGTTGGAAGTGAATTAATTTGAATACTTTTTGTTTTCTATTTGCAGGTATTTTGTTCTGTGTTGTTTATCTGACATTAAGAAGTAAGTTCGATAACCCGATGACGAAGTTTCTGAAAACATTACACGCTATAATTTCCCTAGTAAGTATAATAAATACATTGCAAATATCACAAACGGATTTATTAAAAACATCAAGAATCTCATCTAGAATAACATTATAGAATATTCATTTATAATTAGCCGATTTTCGTAACTTACAGGACAATAAAAGTAATATCCGATACTATTACCATATACACTTAAAAAATAAGGGTTTCGTTTTTTATACCAGAAAAAAAAACACAAATAATAAAGATCTTAAATGTGTAGTAATAACTTTTTCCCGATTACCAATTATAAACTTAACCAATCGAAAAACAAAAAAAAAAACTCCTGTAAGAACATATTAAGAAAAATAATACTTTTTTAACTTTTGGAGGATCAAAGAGGGGGTGTGTAATAACAATAAATAACAATCGCATAACTTTAGAAACACCATCCTTAATTGACCGACATCTTAAATGTAAACTGCACAACACGATCTAATCGGATTGCGAACATTGACAGAAATGAACTATTTGACTTTATCACTAACAAAGCGCATCATTCCACCATTCAATGATAACTATCATCAGTCATTCGATTGCCGCCTTAACATCTAACATGGCCGATGCACATTCAGCCAGTACTCAAAATTATTAATTGCCAGTAACTTTAACCGTTCAAGAATAACAATCATTTCGCGCCCATAAATATATGAATGAAGTGTCAAATATTATACGAATATTATAAATGCGAAAGTTTAAATGGATGGATGAATGTTTTTTAGAGTTTGTGCCTAAACGTTTTCGATGAAATTTGACATAGATGAAGATTAATAGTCTGGAAGAACACATAGGCTACTTGCATTTTTTCTTTTAATTCCGCGCGGACGGAGTCCTATATATATAAATGGCTCTGCTAAATGTTATACTTAATGATTTCGAAGTCCTATTTTATGATGAAACTTTATTTATACAATTTGGCAAAAGTAGTATTCTAATTCATTCATTCATTTTCATGATACTATTTTAATGTATTTTCTACATTTAACAAATTGATTACAAATGATATTTGATTTAGATCCCAGTCTTCGGACTGCAATACGTATCGCAACCATTCCGGCCTCCTCCTGGATCAGCGGCCGAAATAACATTAGAGAAAGTAATTGCAATTCTTACGAGCAATCAGGTAAAAATTCTTAAAAAATATTCATCAGTTGCCTTTTTCCAATCTAATTAACATAACAATAATCTAAAAAAAAAATCAAAAACATTTTCATTATTTGAAGTTCAGCTCATGCCTCTATCTATCACAGGTCATTTAGTTTCAAATTAATCTATCCCTTATAACAAGTAATGTAATTTTTGTGCTTTATTAATGGTTTCTTTTTGCAGGGCGTAATCGTTTTTATTTTGTATTTAGTTTTGAACTGCGAAGTTATTTCTGCAATTCGAGAGAAATATCGGCAGAGATATGCAAACGCGCCCGTTGATGAACCGATCCCTATGGCTGGTATGTACCGTTGATACTTATTATACGTTTTCTTTGTGTTTGATTAATACCTTGATGTTAATAACAGTTAATTTCATCTCGACTACTTTGATTTCTCTCCGCCGCCGGCAACCGCAACCGTCAGCGCCAAGATAAAAATCAAATAGGCGAAAAACACCACGAATTATAATATGTCCATTTATAGAAGTCATTGTTGTCGTCAGTTGACATAATTTGAGTATAGTGCCGCAAGGCTATTGTCGCACCTTTTTGACATTGACAGGATGGCGCCTCTAAACATTTAGAGCTACCAGCACGGTAATATGTCTACATTAGAGGGAAATCCTTCCATTTAGAAAACGGAAACAGAAATTCTGAAGGAAGTACTTTTACCTTACAATGTAACTAGAAAATCAGTGCTTATCTAGAGAGTAATAGAAATCTTAATGATTGGTGTTTACAATCTATGCACAGTTCAACCTATGTGGTACGCCCCGTGGTTTGAACGAAACCGTGTGGTATAAAATCACCAGACAGCCAGTTTCTTGTTATATTTCTGAGTACACACAGCAATTCCCTAATAACGTAAGTGAAAGAGTTCGAGTAAAAATCAAAATTCTTGTTTATTTTATGTCATGAAGGAAATACTTTCAGTTGGACAAAACACATTACAACTAAGGGTTCGGTCACTGCAATTTGGAATGAGTAGGTAATAAAGCAACCTTTAGAAATATATTTATAAGTCTATTATAACAAAATTAAACATATTATACATGCGTCACCTTGAGAATAAGGAATTTGTTGAGTTCACTAACGGTATCACATTTTCGTTACAATAGACACAAGATGTATCACATTTTTAACTGTAATTACTGCACCCCCTACTCCTTTCCCGCGATAAAAATATCTCCCACTTTGAACCTCCTGAATAAAACCTCTCTGATACTAATTTTAAACACTTTCATCACTTCTTTTCATGGAATAACATTAAAAAACCACACATAATAAGCAAAGTAAAAAGGCGAAGTGAATTGACAGGCTAAGCCACTATTACCCCGACATTAAATGTCACTTTTATTTTTCAACGATTGTCGGGTGCCAAAAGAATCATGTACATCTATATTTCGGGTGTTCTATTTTCACATGGAAAAAAATTAAAATGATATTTATTTAAAATGTATTACAAACTACACTGAAATATTGTCTCTTACTTCTCAATCGCTATCTAAAATTACCAGGCCTGTGACATAAGGATTTTTATTGTTCAAAGAAGTTGTGAGATACATTTTAACGTCCTAACCTAACTATCCTCGAGCTCGTCTTAAGACAACAAGGCAACGACTGATACGATACTCATTACCTCGTAGGTTTCCATGTTTTTAAGGTCACAGTTCATTATCATTTTGTTGTATGCAAAATTTTCGCAAAGGGGCCAAGGTGCTGCGTGAAGGCAGTAAATCATGTTAAGATTATAAACTCCTTTATTGTGTAGATATTCGTAGTCAGTAGGAACAGTACATATCGATTACCTTTACTAATAATTCAGCTTTTTTCCAGATTTACCTGCTGAAGAACCCGACGTGGAGATTACTGTAGACATTGAAGAGTAATCGCATATTATTAAAGAAGACTTTCACTGTATATTGTATTAATAGGAATTGTACAGTTGTATATTATACAGCTTGTCAGTCAATGGCCACCACAGTGGTGTCCTTCGTTTAAATTGAGATTTCTTTAATCATATTAGGTAATTTTTTTAACCATCTTGATGTCGTATTTCGATTTTCTTAGCATATATTTAGGGATAAGCATTGATTGTACAGATTCCGGTCTTATAGATATAACTATATAATATAATATATAATCGTTCAGCTAAGATAATGAAATTCAGAATGTATTATTGTAATTGTGAATAAAGCAATGAATTTGGACAAACTATTATGTGTAAATAGTCTAATTTTCTTAAAATTAAAATTATTGCATAGGCACTATCTCTCTTACAACTTGAGGTATTTTAAATAATCGCCGTTAGAATTTTACCGACGGGTTTAATTATTATAATTGTAATAGCTCTAATAACTAATTAATAAATAAATTTAGATGTTATTTATTGTTAACGCCTGACTGAGAATTGTTTTAATTTTGTCATTTACTTAAAAAGAAACTTTAACTTTCAAATTTTACACTTAATAAATACTCAAAATTACTTATAACTTTGACAAAAACTTTTTTTTGCCAAAAATTGTAACACAACTTTAAGAAGTTTTCTAATTTCTATGTCAGGCTATACTATTCTTAAGTCTATCTATTTAATGTTGTTATAGACTAGCTTTATATTTTGAAACGCTTATTAGTTTTATTTTTAAATGGATTAATATTAATAAATCATTAGATTAATTAAATATTTCGTTTTATTGGCATCAATACCTACCGATAGATTTATAATTCTTAGTGTAAGGGTAAGTAACAGTCAAACCGTTAATCGACAGAAATACTGGACCACTATTGAAGTGTGAGAAATCATTCCATTCCTATTAATTCAATACTAAACTTTCATACTAAACAAACTAGAAACTACAACCAACTCTTAAACGAGGTTTATTCAAAGCGCAATTCGACCACCTCAAGAAAAATTACCAACTCAACTGTTTATGTGGTCAAGAGACATACGAATTAGTTTAGTAAGTGTCTATTCAATCTAAGAATAATAGTTAAGGGAAAGTCAGCCATGCAGCGCAACTGGATGTCTTAATTAGTAATCAATTCAAATCGTTGTTATATCTTAGTGCAAGAAAATGTTAAGTGAAAAGCTCCTAAAGTAGTAACTATCGTAATAAATAAAAACAATTAAGAAGAGTGCTATCATCATTATCATACTAATGTTATAAATGCGAAAGTTTAGATGGATGTTTGTTAGACTTATTAGCCAAAACGGCTTAATGGATTTCGATGAAATTTGATACAAATGTAGAATAGTCTGGAAGAACACTTACGGCTAGTTTTTTTTAAATTCGACGCAGACGAAATCGCGTGCTAAAGCTAGTTCTGTATAAATAAAAGGCGATGGCTTGAAAATGACAGATCTGTTCTGACAGCTACCTTCAGCGCCACAATGGCGGCATAGGCAAAAATAATACAATCACCTGTCCATTTATTGAGGTTATTAACTATGACTTTTCAAATAATGTAAGTGTCTATGCTCTGGATCGTTCATTTTATTATGTAGATAACTATGAAGCAAATCTAAAAGCACAATTTTAATGTGTGATCAAAACATATTACGTATTAAATAATTATAAAGGATATTATGACCCAAAAAATACGCTCAAATAATATGCTAATGGAGTTTCGATTATCTTACTATTCGATTAGTACTTTAGAAACACTGCGGTAGGTAAAATAAAGTCCACTCTATAACCATTATTGTATTTAAATCTCTTGCTTGTAAAAAAAATCAACGTGCGACGATTAGCGTTTTCTCGCGACTTGGCGATCGGGTCGACGGCGAATGGACGGCGCGCCGTTGCCTTCCTCCCCCTCAATTGGCGGCGTCGAGACGGCGGCGAGAGAAAGCTGCGGCGATCGCAAGGCGGGGCGGTGCCGTGTGGGCGAGGAGTGGAGTAATGCACAATAACCTTAGAGGTGCTATTCAAGGACAGAGAAGCGTCTTCAAAACAATAGGTGTTCTGTTAGTGCATGTTACCGTACATAATTTAAAATCGACCATATAATCTTACTGGACATATCCTTACCGGAGAAAAAAATGTTAACTAATGTAAACTGTTAGGGTGAGTTGCATCAAATCGCTGGTTATCGTAAAAGTTATAATAGGGTTACAAGTGCAAAAACATATTCTCACAGAGGTTTTATGTGTTTTTCGTTTTTACAATGGAAACATTTAAACCTGAATGTCACTAAAGTGTCAAGTTGGTGTCAAGAATGACATTTACGTAAATTAAAATGTTTGGAAATTCATGTTTCGCCGATTATATTTATGTATCATACGCATGGTATTTTATAGTGAAATAAACTTTTTGCCCACGAAGATGGAGAAAATGGCAAACTCTTGTGAAAATAAACTAGTTTGGGCCATTATCGAAACTGTATTTACTTTACTACTCAAATATGTAGCAAAAATGAAGCAATAAAATTATACAAATATAAATGCATCTTATTTATTTTCCATATTATAAATTGTCCTGTCAATGCATATTATAAATTGACCTTTTATGGAGGACATTTTTTTAAATAAGAGAAAAGGGACAAGCGCTGTTGCTATGGCCTTAGACACTCGAAATTTGTCCAAACTGAATGTTTGGCCAAATTTTGAGTTCCATCTTGGAAATCCATTATTTCCGAGCACGCAAGACTTTATTCTTCTGCATTACGTATAGTATAATAGTAGATATTTTCTTTTTCCATTACTTTTTCCATTATTTGTGCTTTTGAAGATAAGAGCTTGTGACAGTTGACACTACCGAACTGACACTAACCGTAACGCTAACTATAACCGCCCAAAATCGGGCGGTTATGATTAGTGTCAAATATGACGTCATTTTGACCAGCGCAAAACTGGTGTAGCGAATATCATGAACATCCGAAGACGTAACCATCGGGAATGTGCTGGTTAAGGTTTATAGTTAGTTAATGTAACTCATCCTTAGTAAATTTTAAGGTTATTCCAAATATTACTGTTACAAATAATTTTAACTTTAACGGTAACCGGCGATATGGTGCAACTCACCCTTAAAGTTTAAAATAATCTTGAAGTGCCATTTACCAAGGTCAACGAACATTCCATGTTCTCTTACGTTATTTTCTATGTAAAAATGAAATACTTACTCATAGTCAAATTAGACATAATTCAAATTTTGTTAGTTTCTGACTGACGACCTACTTGAAATTGTGATTCAGTTTTCAAAAGTCTGATAAATTAAGATACATATTTGTTATCTAGTCAGTTAATAATCGAAATATCAAGTCAATAATTGTACGGTGACATTAAGAAGCAATGGATGTTTCTATTGAAAACAGACCACCGCTCGTGTACACATTCTGCATGCGATTCTTGAATTGTTCCGCTGATGCGTTAACTTTAATTGGCTTAGGTCGTGCTGTCTGAATACGTGGCGATGCTAACGTGTTACACGTGTAACGTTAGATCGGCCTTTGTTATGACCACAACAAAGGTTCTTGGTTGACGTCTCAACCTCTAAGTTCAATCAAGGCTAGGCGTCAATATAAATTAAAAAAGAATTAATTTTTAAAGGGTGAAACTTGACTGTCACAGACTTACAAAATGCTTTGTTAACTGAATTATTAGCATATTTTAGTGTATTTCAATAATTTTTAGCAAGCTGTTCTAGCTTGGTTAGGCTAGATTAGTACAAATATATGTACTACAATAGTTATATTTAGTTTTAAACTTCATGACTCGCGATTGGCTCGAGCTTATCTACGCAAGTAGGTTGGCTACTAACGAATCAAAGTATGTACTGAGATGTTGCCTACCCCTGCATAAATTTACGTCCCGTTGTATCTATATTTGTCCTTTCCTGTGTTTTTTCCTTGTAAAGATCATGTACAATTATTCATAAAAAAATATTTTTTGTTTTTTTTTCTGTTTGCAACTTCAACATTAATTAGTTATTTCATTGACCACTAAACTCGATACCTAAGAAATAGAAAAAAAACTGTTTGTTGGATTATTTTAAAATTTTTCAAGAGTAGTAAAATGCCTCCATGACATCAGGTTATGCGTACCTTCTTCTTCTTTTGGTACCGTCTTCTAACGAAGATTGGCAATCATTACAGCGACTTGAAGTTTGGACACAGCAGCTCTAAACATAGAACGCGTACTTTTATTGTACCATTGACGAAGATTTTTAAGCCACGATGTTCTTCTCCTTCCTGGACATCTTTTCCCTAGAATGCGTACCTACTCATCGATAAAAAACTTATCTACATATTTTTTTTAAGAGACGAATTCAATCATGCATCTAAAGTCTTTAACCTTTTCTAAATACTGAATATTTTTGTGACCTAAATGACGTAACCATAAGGCTTACCGTCTCATTATTCAATGTTAATATGTGAATCTATAATTCCAAGATCGATCTAGTCTAGCTGAGATCGCGCACGTACTCAGGATGTCAATGTCAATAAAATTAATTTCTAATAAATTCATGTTCACAACATCCCACGCGTCTTCTTATATATCGAACATACGCATTATTCATTTACTCGGTGTAACCGCGTGCGAGGAATCTTCACATCAGCATCATCAGCTCACTATATGGTCCCACTTAAGGGCTCGGAGCTTACACTAAGTTAACGTGACTAGACCTTAGTCCGGCTCGGTAGACTTCACTTCACTCTTCGCATACAACTAATGGAAGGGATTTAGACCTAGGTATTTAGCACGTCGTCCTCACATTAAGCAAGCGTAATGTGAGGTCTTACTTGACAAGTATCATACATCATCATCATCATCATCATCATCATCATCATCATCGGGCTTCATCTGCCTACTGTTAGTCATAGCCTTTCCCAATACCTTCGTTGCGGTCCACCGCATCCACCGTCCTCTGCGCGCACAAGTCGTCGGTCCACCTGGATAGAGGATATATTCGTAATATTCTTAATATTCTTCTTCATATTTAAAACATGAGAAATTTTACGAGTCTTAATTAAATAAAGGGATTAATTTGGAAATTCTCGGCAACCACATTGCCGTATCATATATTCGGAAATATCCCTGCTGAAAAGTTCTTTTTTTTAATGTGGTTAATCATCTTTTGCTTTGAAATACGAATATAGAAATC